GAGAATTGCAGCCCAAAACAGTAGAGCAGAGTTCTGGGGGAAAATATCTGATCAAACCTGAAAGGTTGCTGCATGTTGAGTGGGAAGTTGCTAGATATGCCATGGAGGTGCGCTACGACTACTATCTGGAGTTGTCTTGTGTTAACAATTGATAGTGGTGTGCTTTTCAAGGTATGGTAGGTGCTTACTTGGGGCTGTGCTGAGTTATGTAGTTTCCTTTGCATCACTAGGATCCAGCATCTCCATGCTATCCAAAGAGTATAAGGAGGAAAGCATGTACAGCAAGTGGTCCTTCTCCAGGAAAACTATCACAGTTTGTCTGATGGAAGACAAGATGTGATTCCACGACCTTCCTCAAGATGTGGGTGGAATTCACAACACATAGGAGAGAAGAAAATAATCTTATAAGATCCCCCATGGTGTTTTATTTTGAAAAGTTTGAGAGTAGAACCATCTTATTCCACTTACACACTTACCTAAGCTGTCCCCTTTCATCTCTGCCCAGATGTATTCAGTAGCCTTAATGCCACCTCAAAGAGGGAGCCTGGAACAATGCTGAAAACCGTGTCTCCTGTTGATCGGATGCTTTTCTTAAAACGTAAGTATGGTTAAACAAAAGCTGGGAGGCCCCAAATACTCTTGGTCCATCCACTGAAGCAGCCAATGAATGTGAGCTGCCACTATTTTTTCTTTTAGAAGACCTCTGATGTTTAGGAGGATCAAGTTCTCAGCCTTGCCTGAAAGTCAGTATGATTTTCTGTACCCCATGTTGGGAAAGGAATTTCAGTTTCTGTCCATGGAGTTTTGGTCCTGTGTTTTTATTCAGAACTATCATCTCGATGCTGATTGGTCCTTTGCTTTTGTTTTGTTTTCTTTTTCTTAAGCAATGAATTTATTTGCATTTGCTTGAGATTTAGTAGCAATGCACTTTGTGAAAATCTATGTTCTCAGGCAAATTCGATGAGCAGAGATCTCTAATTTGCACAGCTTTTCATGCTCTTGAAAAGCATTCCCCCTATGTTTTATTTTTAAAACCTTGAGAGTAGAGCCATCTTCTTCCAGTTACACACTTAAGCGGTCCCTTTTGACATCTGCTTCTAGAAAAAAAGCAGACACCATAGCCAGGACTTTTGTATCATCCCTGCTTTAAAGTGAGACTGGACTTCAAGTATTTTTCACTCCCCACGTCTCTTGTGCTCTGCACAAACTTGGCATCCCCTGTGCTGACCTCTCTGAGGGTGACTTGGAGCCAAGACCCAGACAGTCAGTCATTCACAAGAAAGAATCCTGCAGCATGCTCTTTTTACCTACGTAAATGATTTCCATCTCCTGTCTTTTGTCACCAACTGTGCACACAGGTGTGTATTAGTACTTGTGGCATTCACCCATCTAAACACCTATTCAGACCACAGAGAAGCCAGTACTAGCTTTTCTGACTTGTGTTTCACCACGAAAGTACAGTGATCAAAGCAATAAGATGTAGCATGTATGAGACCGAGCCCCATGGTTTTGGAAGTTTTAGTTTGTTTACAGTCATAATGCCAGAATTAAAATTATGATGCCTTTCTTTTTGTTCAGAGAATTCTTCAGTTAGCACTGCACATACAGTGCCATTTACTTCTCCCTTCATTTGCAGTGCACAGGTACAGTGTGAAGGCTGCAGAATTACCAGCAGTGGGTCCTCTAGCATCTTCATACATACATCACACAGCAGCAACTCTTTCTGTACGTCTTTGCAAGTGTGTGCTGTGATCCTGCCCAGATCAAGACAATCTATTAGTAAAGCCATGTATCAAAGAACTCCTATTGGTGCACCACTGCTCTGTGTATTTTAAACAGGGCCATTGTTAGGAGTCACAGTAAGGCAGGAAGGTGTGAAGTCCAGCTGTATTTTTTAGTCATTATTCATGTGTAGTACTTACTTTCCTGAGGTCTTTTTTCTGGCTTTCTGATTTCTGTCCTGCTTCATGGTAAAAAGAGTCTGCTGCTGCATTCAGTGGTTTCTAGAGTGTAGTTCCAGGCTGAAATTTTTCTGTGGTAAATGACATGTTAGGTGAACTGCTGCAGACCTTCTGGGAGGTGGTAGGTTGTTTCTTTGCTACATACATGGTACTTCTGCTTTGAGCTGTGGAGATCTGTGAAACAGATTCCTAGCCTGTTTTTCAAAGGAGATCTCACTGGAATGAGGTCTCACAACCCTCTCAGTGTTAATAGCCTACCTATTTGTATACATCATCTAATTTGTGAAACACACATATACTGACCTAAATAGGTCTTCTACTGACCTGCATTAAAGATTGTGTGACTTCAAAGCTCTGCTGCATATAGACAGTGCAGTGTTTCCTAGTAAAAAATGTCTCTTACTCCTTGCCAAATCACAGTTTCCAAGACATTGCCAGGTGTGTGCTTCTTTGCAGGCTTTTTGTATATAAGTAAGTTGGACCTTTTTTTAAGGGCATGATAAACATAGCAAGTACATTTATGGTTTTGATTGCAGATGCAAGATCACCAACCTGGGAATACGATAGCCTTCATCCAAGGCTGAAGTTGTCTGATGACCGTCTTGTAGTAAGCTGTAACTGGAGAAGGATATTTTACCCTTGTGGTCCCCAGAGGTTTGATAAATTATGGCAAGTGCTAAGCAGAGATGCATTCCTCTCTGGAAGCCATTACTGGGAAGTTGACCTCCTTCATGCTGGAGCTGGGTGGTGGATTGGTGCAGCCTACCCTTCCATTGGCAGGAAAGGAGACTCTGAAAGCTGTCGGCTTGGCTGGAATAGAGCATCTTGGTGCATTAAAAAGTTTGATCTTGAATACTGGGCATTTCACAAGGGGGAGAGGATCCCTCTCCTAATAGAAGATGATCCTGATCGCATTGGCATTTTTCTGGATTATGAAGCCGGAATTCTTTCATTCTATAATGTTACTGATGGCATGACACATTTGCACACCTTCCGCTGCAAGTTCACAGAGCCAGTGTACCCAGCTTTGAGGCTCTGGGAAGGGTCCATTGGAATATGGAAGCTAACATAAGGAATGAAGTAAAATAAAGGCTACTATCTGATGGTTTTTTGTATGAAAGCCGCTTTAGTAGTGATTTACATGTATGTTATATGAAGATTCAACTGTGGCACTTCTAGAAGTTAACAGGAAAATTCAAGAAAAATCAGCTGTTTTTAAGTAAAGTAGTATCTACCTGTATTTTCAGTGGAGGAGTTTGATCTGCCATTTATAAATGGTGTCAGTGTATCACCACCTAAAGTGCCTTGCATTGTATTTTTGTACTCGATTCAAACTTGCAAAGTAGAAAAAGTCTGGTCAGCGCTTGAAAAAATGCTTATTAAAACTCAGATTTGAACCTGAAAACCACTGTCAGGTCTTCTTGTTTATTTATTGTTTATTGTTTATAAATAATATTTATTTATTATGTTGTTTTTTCCAGCTCCATCCTAATTTGAAGTTGGAGGTGTTGCACTTGTGCATGGTATTAGATTAATTTGCCTTAAGTAGAGTGAGCACTGAAGCAGCCACACTTAATAACCACAAGCTAATCCTATTTTGACAGTCTGAAGTGGGGTTCTGGGTGGCCCTGTTCTTCACACAAGAGCAGAAGCAAGAGAAACAGTTTTGTACATCTTTAGTAGAAACTGAAGCACCTGGAGAACCCACAGATACACTGAGAATACTAGGTTAGTGAGGCACTTGTGCTTAAATTATTGTTTCCTATTTCAAGTCTCTTTAACTGTTGCTAGTTGGAGATAAATGCATGTAAAACTAGCAGAGAGTTCACAAGGATTACTTTTCATCTGCTGTTTCTCTGTAGGGGTAATGATTTATTATTTTTCCCAGTCTAGTAAACAGAGTTCAATTCAGTTAGAGGCCAGTCACCAGTGGTATGTTCCAGGGCTGAGTGCTGGGGCTAGTTTTAAATATTTCTGTCAATGCTTTGGATGAAGGCATCAAGCACTCCCTCTGTAAGTTTGCAGACAATACCAAATTAGGCTGGAATGTTGATCTGCTTGAAGGTATTGAGTCTCCAGAAGGACCTAAATAGACTGGATCAATGGACAAACTTCAACCTCATGACACTCAATGAGGCCAGATGCTGGATATTGCAGTTGAGTCACAACTCTGTATAGTAGCGCAGGCTTAGGAAAGAAAAGGACCTGGAGTTTTGGTGAACGTGGCTGAATATGAATCAGAAATCTGCCCAGGTGATAAAGGCCAATGACAACCTGGCCTATGTATGAAATAGTGTGGCTAGCAGGGCTAAGGAAGCAATTGTCCCCTTGTCCACTGGTGAGACCACACATCCAATAGTGCATGCAGCTTTAGTCCTCTCACTAGAAGGACACGGAGTTGTTCAAGTGCGTGTAGAGAAGAGCAACAAAATAAAGCAGGTGAAGGAACTAGAAAACAAGACATATCAGAACCAACAGAGGGAACTGGGGTTGTTTAGTAAAAAAGAGGTTGAGGGGAGACCTCATAATTCTCTGCAACTACGTGAAAGAAGGCTGCAAAGAGAACGTTATCCGTCTCTTCTCTTGGGTTACAAGTTGCAGAATTAAGGCCTCAAGTCGTGCCAGGGAAGGTTGAAATTTTATATTATGCATTTTTTCATGTAGAGGGTAGTTAAGCACTGGAACAAACCGTACACGGAACTGGTAGTGTCCCCATCCCTTGAGATACTTAAGAGAGATGTGGACATGGCTGTAGGAGAGATAGTTTAGTGCTAAGATTTGGTATGCCAGTTTGATGTTTGGATGTGATGTTCTTGAAGGTCTTTTCTAACCTAGGTGATTCTATGATTTAAGTCCTGGAAATCTTTGGAGCCTATGTTTTTGTCAGTTTATTGGAGCAGGTGTACTGTCCAACTGAAGAAGCACTGCTTGAAACAAGCCAGGTAATCTTTGGTGATTCAAATACTAAAGGCCATTAACTCCTCTCTGCTGCTAGCAAAGGCAAGATCTTACTAAAGATTGAAATGCAAAAAGAGTTGCTTGTTTTGAAAGCTGGATTTATTTTTAAAATTTGCCATTAAAAAAAATTCAACAGTTGAGTTGTTTCTTAATGTAAGGCAAACATACTGCATCAGCACTCCCAGACTGTCACAAGCACATGATTCAAACAGCTTCTTCCCAGTTTAAAGATAGAACTACAGACTTCTCAGAACTGCAAAAAAGTACACATTTGGAAAGTAACACTACTTACAGGCACAGAAACATCACCATCAAATTCAAGACATTTTACCAATTCATAATCAAGAGGTAGCAATAACCGTAACAACCATAACTAGCAATTGATTCTGTTGCAGACAAATGCAGACTGATAACACCAATGTAATTTCGTGCTTATCGAGCTAGCTGAGAGATGCGTTATACGTGCTGCCACCTGGTCCTGTCCAAACAAAGACAATAGGCAGAAGGATTGCACTTTTTACTTGAAAAGAACCTGTATTGCAAGAGTGGAGTGCACAGAGGAGTGCTGGCAGTCACGCTGTGATCTAGTCAATGAGATGATCTACTCAAGCAGCTAGCTTCAGCTGTTTCAAAGAGCAGCGTGTGGGGGTTGGGGGGAATAATTCCAACACAGCATCTTCATGCAAAAAGGAGGCTGCAAAATCTTTACTAGCATTTGATTTCTCATCTGAGCAGCTGCCCTCACATACAAATAGAGAAACTGCACAACAGAATTTATTAGGATGCCAAAATTCAGTAAGCTGACAGATGCTTTTGCCAATTTCTGGAAGCACATGTTAAATTTACTTCTACTGATCCATCTTGGGTGAATTTTGCCCCATTTAGCTTGCTCTCTTGCCTTTTTGTACTTTCTGTAAGCTGCAAGGCTCCTTTTCTAGCTCCTTACGTGGGAGCTGTCTACATATCCAATTCACTGACTTTGTTGGTTCTGCCTTTGAGAAGGCAGTATACTGGAACCTATCTTTCCTCAAGGAGCTAGCTTTTGAAAGAGTGGCATCACAGGAATAGACAATTATCTCCCTTCTCTATACTGCTGCACTTCTGTGAGTTCGTCCACTTCTATTACTCAAGCAGGTTCCTGCCACCCATTCCTTTAACTTGAGACTTTTTTTAAAATCTGAAAACATATCTTAAGAAGAATCCATCATATTGCATGTGTAAACTGTCTGTTTAGGTAATCTTTCTCTTTGCATTCAACACAAACTTGCATCCTATATTCATGGGATTAAAGGAAATGGCAGAAGAGAGACTTTACAGCAAGAAAACAATTGAAGTATAGACAAATTATTAGGATTAGTGTATTCTTATCAGAAAAGGAAAGCTAGAAAACAGTAGACCTTGGTCACAGATTTGGCAAAAATTCCAAATTAATCAAAGTGGAATGGAAGAGGAGGAACATGGTATTTTCTAGACACAGTACTATGCAGTTTCTAATAAGATTGCTTTTCATAATTTATATCCCCTAGTTGCAAAACTTCTTGCAGAACAATCCTGAAAATGTTAATCTTCTCAGATCCTTTCTAACCCACCATGTCACTATACTTAAACATGTTGTGCAGTAGGACAGACCGGCAACATAAAATATCAAATGGAGGGCTTTGGTTTAGCACTTCACTTTCTTGACATGATTTTCCACTGCCTGCTCAGTGATGGTTTCATCTTCCTCAATTGTTTTCTTAGCCTTCTGGCCCACCAGATCAAAGATGGCTTCTGGAGCAAATCCCTTAGGCTCTCCTACTTTCACTGTCAGCATGTCAAGTGTCAGTACGGTTCCTTCAGGAATGGTCACTTTTGCCACAACAGACTTTCCCAGCTACAGAGGAGAAAATAAAAAGAACGTTTAAGTCAAATACAATCATAGGCACCAGAAGAGGACAAAAAGACTATACGCCTACTTGGGAAAGGGTTGCCTAAACTGTTGCTTAACTTCTTACTCCACAAGAAGCTTGAGTTAGTACGGAAATGTTTACTGTAACAAGGCTGATGGGAAAACTTAAATCCTTTCTGAATTCAGACAGTATCACACTGGCATATCCCAGTATTAGAATGGAAGGAATCTGAGTAGACCGATGAGCATTCTAGCTTCGTGTAAACACAACTTATGCATTCAAACATATTTACTGCTCAAGGGAGTTAATCACAGGGGACATCCATAAAACTCCACTGAACTTAAAACACTGCAATAAAAACTGACATCTTCAGACCACAAACCCAAGTATTATCTGCTGTTTTTCTGCAGAGGAGTTACTGACTGTGAATCAAAAGCAAGAGTTACCTTTTCGTTGCAAGCCATTTCACAAGGCAAGAGCTGTTTGATT